AGGCTAATTCCATATCTTAGCTAATGTGAATAAATCTGCATACACATGATGTGCAGGTATCTTTTTGGTATGCTCACTTTATTTTCTTTGGATTTATACCCAGGAGTGGGATAGCTGCATCATGTAACAATTCTCCTTTTTGTTTTTTGAGGAACCTCTGTATGATTCTCCATAATGGCTGACTAATTTACATTTCCACCATCAGTGTTCTTTTTTCTCTTCATCCTTGCCAGCATCTGTTATTTTGTTGGTTTGTTTGTTTTTATAATAGCCATTTTAACTGGGGTGAGATGGTATCCCATTTTAGTTTTGGTTGGCATTTCACTAATTGAGCATATTTTTATATATTTGTTGGCCATTTTAATTTTTTTTTGGAGTAGGGGAAGTGTCTATTCAGATCATTTGCCATTTTGAAATTAGATTACTTGGTTTTTGCTTTTAAGTTTTTAAGTTTCTTATATATTCTGCATTTAGCCCTCTGTTAGATGAATGGTTGGCAACTATTCTCTCACATTCTGTAGATTTTCTCCTCATTTTATTATTTCCTTTGCTGTGTAGAGGCCTTTTAGTTTGACATAATTCCATTTGTCAATTTTTGCCAAAAAAAAGCATATTTCTAACCATCTGGGTTACTCAGATATAAGAGCATGCCCTTTGATTTTGATGCTTTTTTGTGTTATTTTCACCAAATTAAGGGCAAATTGGATAATAGCAATTCACAAACCAAGACATTATAGTTGTTAACTTGATAAAAGTTTTCAGGATAATTTGGTTATTATTTTGAGTATGGCCTGCACACAGACTGAACTCCAAAGAATCTGCTTTAACATGGTCACTTCTATCTTCCTATTGAAAGATGATGTATTGCTCACATTCATTGTTAGTGTGTGTGTCACATTATATGTCATTCAGTAAACATAAAGGAATCAATAAATGCATAATATATTCTTTTCAGAGATGAATCTCTGTACCTTTGGCTCAATTTGGTTGTGAAGCCAGACTAAAGCCATTTTAAAAAAATACAATCCATAGAAAAAGAAGACTGAGTACATGCCTATTTCTAGTGTTAGAAATACTGATTTATAAGACAAGAATGCAAAATTTTTATGAACTCAGGATTATCAAAAATATATTATCTCTATGAACCTATACTTAGAGGGGTAAAATATAACTTGTACTATTCTAAGTCTACAAAGTTTTCTGATTTTGGTGACAGGCACAAATGCCAATGGACTCTACTGATATTTTTGGTAGTGTTTCTATTGGCTTTAATAATGTTCTGTTTACAAATAGTATATTTGGGGGTTTTATCATAGGCCAATTTCTACCATCATCAATGTACGTGGTTTGAAATAGCAGGACAATTTACAGGAACACACAAGTTGAGTTAAGATAGAAATTGCTGTAGCTGGGCACTGAGTAGAATTTTTTGAATTTATGTTGTATCCACATACACATATATTTTTTTCTTCCTTGCTGTTACCTGACAAGGTATACATTTGATAAATTTGAGGACACAGGAAACATGATTTAAAATATTGTATCAACAATAAAATATTTCTCATGTATCTTTTGCTAAATTCCATGACTGGCAATAAAAGTTTTTTTTTTTTCTTTCTGTTAGAAAGTAAAAGTTCTGTGGTTACTTTTTAACTTTGTCCTGTCTACAGAAAAGGAGTCATATGTCAGATCAAAGGGTGCATGAACCTGTTATCTCATGTGTTCACTAAAATTCAAAATAAATTATAAGTTCGGCATTTTCCATCAAAGAAGAATGGGTCAAACATGATTCAACTTCCACTGTTATTTTCAATCTATCAGTTATAATGAGACCCAGCAAGAGCTTGGGGCTATCTAGGATCTTCTGCTATACAGGAAGCATGTGACAGGACCCAGGCAAACCTGCCCTATATCTGCCAATTGCATTTCCTGTTGGAGCAGATGTAGCACACAGCTTGGTAACTTTGCTTGTACCTCTTGAGCACAAGGTATAGAATTAATATCTGGATTTGAGATAGAACATAGAAGATTTCTCTCAGGGAAGAACTACCACTATGCTAGCCACCAGCCTGCTGGGAGTAGCCATTGCCTCCATCTGTCTTGGTAAGGATGTGAACAAGTACAGGACTCAGGCTTTTCTCAGGCATGAAGGCCATGCAGAGAGAAGATCGTTGTTCTCCAATGAGGCTCAAAAGGATGAATGAAAGTCAATGAGATCAGAGCACTGAGTCCTCAGTCACTTTACCCTTTATAGTCCTGTGGTTCCAGATAAAGGATTTAAGTCTATTTCTTCTTCTCTTCTGCAGGAACGAGCATGGCCCAGAAGGTAGCTCAAGATCAGACTGCAATTTCTGTGATGGAGAAGGAGGCTGTAACTTTTAACTGTATGTATGAAATCAGTGATGATATTTATTACTTATTTTGGTACAAACAACCACCACGTGGGAAACCAACTTACCTTATTCGTCAGGACTCTTACAATGAGCAAAACGCAACGGAGGGTCGCTATTCCCTCAACTTCCAGAAGGCATCCAGTTCCATCCAGCTCACCATCACAGCCTCACAGCTCATGGATGCAGCAGTGTATTTCTGTGCCCTGGAAGAGGCCACAGTGAGAGGGCTGCCTGTGGGAGTCCCACAAAAACCTCAAGAAGAGCTAGGGCCTCTGGGGGGAGACCCCACCACAGACAGGGAGGAGCAGGTCTGTGTCAGCACAGGTGGGGGTTTGGCAAGGAAACCTGAGTGCAGTTCATGTAAAATGTCCAGATGTTCACTTGTGAGAAGGATGTGTAACTCCTGTTTTTTTGCAATAGATTAAGATAGAACATGTAGTACATATTTTTATTACACATGCAAAAATTATTTTCAAAATGCAACTTAATACAACTTATTAATCTTGTGGTGGTTTATTGAGGTAGGGAAAATATAAATTATATTCAGACCTAATGTAATATTCTATTGAACAGTTATTAAAACTTCAGAATCATTCATACATTTATTATTATGTAGAATGCCTTAATCCACCTTTAATGTAATTGACTTCTGTTGAGTTTTCTCAAAAATTGAACAACTACTCCATGAGGTAAAAGAAATTGTTTAATATAGACCCATTTTAATAATCTTCCTTGAACAAGCAGAAAATATATGAAATATTTCTCATATTACCTCTCTTTTTTGACACAATTATGATTTTTAAAAATCTGGTGTGACTGCAAATTGGTGCAACCACTATGGAAAGCAGTATATAGATTCAGAAAACTAGGAATGGAACCACATTTTGACCCACCTATCCCACTCCTTAGTTTATACCCAAATGACATAAAATCAGCATACTATAGGGACACAGCCACATCAATGTTATAGCAGTACAATTCACAATAGCTAGACTATGGAACCAACCTAGGTGTTCCTCAATAGATGAATGGATAAAGAAAATATGGTATATATACTGAATGGGATATTACGCAGCTTTAAAAAAGAGAAAAATTATGGCATTTGCTAGTAAATGGTTGGAGTTTGAGAATATCATGCTAAGTGAAATAAGCCAATCCCACAAAACCAAAGGCCAAATGTTTTCTCTAATATGAGGATGCTAATTCACAATAAGGTGGAAGGCACTAGGGAAGAATAGTGTTACCTTAGATTAGGTAGAGGGAAGTGATGGGAGGGAAGAGAACGGGATGTGGGGATAGGAATGATAGTAGAATGAAACAGACATTATTACTTTATGTATATATGTGACTGTATTAACAATATGATTCTGCAACATGTACATTCAGGAAAATGAGAAAATATATCCCATCTATGTATGATATATCAAAGTGCATATGCATTTGATATATACTGTCATGTATAACTAATTAAAACACATAAAAATTATTTTCTAAAAAGCATGCAAATCTATTGCTACCTACAGAGGGAAAGATTTGTCCTGATCTATTGATTCTCTTGTCTTCATCCTTCCTCTTTAAGTTGTGCCAGTTTGATGATGAGAAGTGGTCAAGGCCATAATCACAGTTTTCATGGCAACCAACACTAGATGGTCTTCCAAGAGTCAACTTCCTGTCTAGACATATTTTTCCTTAGGTATCTTGGAAAATGCTAGGGACAAAAATTTTATTTCTTTTACTCCACACAAGATTTTACAAACCTCTGAGTCAGTTGCCAACATCTAAAAATCAGACATCATATTAAAAATAGATTTCTAGCTTATTCAAAAATAGGAAGATCTAGAATACAAGACCCTCTGGGGTAGAGGTAAAAACTTCTCCTTGAACATGCAGTGGTTTTGATGTATGTTCAATTATTGTAAAAACTTATTTAACTTTACCATTAATTCACAATATAAACTTGTCTAAAATATTTAATTATTAATTATGAGGTAAAAACAAGTACACAATAGAAACAAACATGAATTAACATCTCATGAAACTATATTGGTTTCCCGCCCATGATTTCATGTATCACTATGTGTATCGCAGTTTGGGGAACTTAAGTGGAGCTTATTTGTTAATTCAAAAGGCATTAGTTTCCATAGTAAGCATTGAGGAAACGTTGATTAACAAGACAGACATGATCCCTGCCTTTCTGGAAGTCTTGCTACCCCTCTATATTTGGAAGAAGAAAACCTGGTGTCATAGAAACTTCCACGGTGTTCCACACACTGAAAAAATGTGTAACAGGAATAACAAGAAGCTAGCGGGAGCTGGGAGAAAGGAGAGTGACCCGGGAAGTTGCCTGCTATCCACACACAGGTGCTACTCTTCTACTTAGGTAGGCTACAGAGGGAGAGAGAGAGAAAAAAGAGAGAGAGAGAGAGAAGGAGGAAGAGGAGGAAGTGAGGAAGGGAGAGAAAGAAGAGGGAAGAGGCTAAGGAAGAAGTGGGAAAAGGAGGAAGGGAGAAACAGGGAGGAAGAGGACAGGCATTAACCCTGAAGTAAAATAGCTTCTACTTAAATATGAGGTTGTGATCTCTTTCACAAGTCATAGACAACTTTCTTTCCTCCATGCGGGAGAATCAGGAAGTATAGACGATGCCCACCTGACAAACACTAGGTCAGAGAACTTTGCCAACCAGTTGAACCTCCAAATGACAAAACTTTTCTTGAGAAGTCCTAAGGCAAGAGGAGCAACAAGTTTTCTAAGCATGAGGATGCCCAACATCACTTGTGAAATGTAGACAGATCTCCATCCCTAAAGAACCAAAGAACATTGTAGATGTCTGGGGCTCCTTCAGCATCAGAGCCCCATCTAGAGCCAGGTTGCAAAGGCAGATGCTCACAGGGTGTTCACAGAAGAATGAACATGAATGTGGTTGTCTATATATTTGAAAAAGGGGGCAAACTTGATGCTGTGTCAACTGGCACTGGATCTTAATGTCAAAGGATGAAAGAAAGTGACATGGTAAACTTAACCTTCTCTAAAGTAGAGTGGGAGTGCCATTAGGTTATCCAAGATTCAATGTTTTTCACTTTGTCCCTGAGTCACATCTGTGTTAGATTTTTGTCACTGTTTCAAAATACCCTACACAAACAACTTAAAGGTAGAAAGGTTTAATTTGGGACATGGTCTCAGAGCTATTGTTGAATGATAGGTTGGCTTCATTGCTTTGGGCCTGAGGTGGGGAAGAACATCATGGTGGAAAGATGTGTTGGAGAAAATCTGCTCATTTCATGACAGCCAGGAAAGAGGATAAAAGAGAGGAAAGCCAGAGACAAAATATAATCCTCAAGGGCATGACCCCAGTAACCTCCTTCCTCCAACCATGCCCAACCTGCCTGAAGTTTCCACCACCTCCCTGAGCTCCATTCAGTTATTAATGGATTAATGCACTAATTAGATCAGGCTCATGATCCAATCACTACCCTAAAGCCCCACATCAAGACATTGGTGCATTGAGACAAATCCTTAAACTCATGAACTTTGGGGGCACATTCCAGATCCAACCATAACATGAAGCAAACTTATTGCAGGAGGACAGGCCAATGCTTAGGATCTAATACAAGGAACCTCTGGTGAGATGGGGACATGAAGCCAGCACAGACTGCAGGACAGCTGGGGCTTATTCCAGTCCCTGTGAAAAAGGTGATAATGACCATTAGGCTCCAGTCCCTCCTTACTGCCTCCCAATGATCCTTCTCCTTCTTCAGGAGTTTCCTGAAATTAGTCATCCTCATATTCACGTCTCAGAGCCTCTGATTCTTGCACATCTTATCTCCATTGCAAATTTGTGGCACTATGCCTAGCTAGGCACTGAAGCCTCATAAAGCAAAGTAAGGACAACAAATGCTAGTAGAGATAGTGTGCCCTGTGAGCTGTCCATGGTTCTGAATCACTTCATTTAACATAACTTCTATTCTGGACACAATTCACTTTCATTAGTCTTTTGTTTCTTCTCTCTCTCTCTCTCTCTCTCTCTCTCTCTCTCTCTCTCTCTCTCTTGTTTTGTAAAGGTGAACATATGTATCAGACGCATATTACATGTGATACAATGAGTTTCCGAACCTCACCCCAATCCCTCTTTACTTTCCTACTTTCTACAAATGCCTGACACTAGTGCAACCTTTTCAACCACCTAATTCTTTGTTGTATAATTAATAAATGAGCTGTAAGACACTAATTTCTATAGGTTATGGAGCTTCTCCCCTCTTATTTTAAGAGTAGATTACACTTTTTCAATATACTTGAAATATCATTGATTGCTATAATAATTTCTTCCCTGAGCTGAGGTGATTATTGGCAAAGAAGACATTTTATTTTGTGCCCAGTTTCAGTACTAGCTGTTTTGTAAATGGGATAGCTTAATAACCTGCTCCAGGAAACCAGGAGAATGTTATCATCCAGTCCCAGAGCATAGAAACCCCCTCATTTTCTGCTCAGAACAGGAGTTTGGGGGCAACCTTTTCTGGTCACAGATCTGTGTATCTACCTACATGCCCCCATTGAACAGAGGGTTCTCTCTCCATCTTCAGGCTACAATCCTGCTTCAAACTCCTGTGACTGTACTTTCTGGGAAAAGAGCACAGCATGTGAGGAAAGATACCTGTTTTGCTGTTTGGCTGTCTGAGAGATATGGTCTAAACTGAAATCATTATTATTTCATAATTATAAGAACAACTACAAAATTGTGGCGTGATCCTGGAGAATGTTTAGTCACCATCCTTATAAGACTTATAAGTCTTCCTGCATAAACATAACAGATGAATTCCTTCCTCCTCTAAACTTCCCAATCACTATTTAACACTTTTTTTATACTTGTCATTTGACACTTTCTACTATGATTCTTAAAATTTCTATCTATTAATCCATCAGAAACAGCATGACTAAAAAATATAGGCAACACCGAGTGTGGACAAGAACATGGAACAACAGCAATCATCGTAAATTACTAGAGGGAAGAGGAACTGTTCAAACTTTGTAAAACATGTGGTAATGTTTACTAAAACTGAGCAAATGTATTTCCTTATGATCCCCAAAACTCCCCTTCTAGGCATATTCCCAGTTAAAAAAAAAAAAAATAGTGGCATATATTCATTCCCACAACATGTACAAGAAAGAGAGCTATGATTTTATCAGTAATTTAATACTTAAATTTGGAAAATGACCAAGGTGTTCATTAGCACTTTCAAGGATGTATAAATTATAATAATGAGTATAATACAGGAAAGAGAATGAACAACGTCGCTATATACTTAC